TGCTATCAATGAAGAATCCACCACCAACCTGACCAATGCACAAGCCAGAGCTATGCTGCGCAGACATTCACTGATCGGACCTGATCTCAGGTGTTCACACACACACACATACACACACACACATGCACACACACACACACACACACACACACACACACACACACACACACACACACATGCACACATGCACACACACACATGCACACACACACACACACACACACGCACATACTCACTAACCAAGCTTTATCTAAATGGGAACGTAACATTGATTTCTAGTTCCATTGTTTTTATATTTAATGCAAATAAATACAGGATAACCATTTGCAATAACATTATAATATTTCAAGCAAGTGGTATTTTTATTTTCACAAAATAAGTTTGTTGATATATATGAACAAATAAACAAACTTATTAATGTTTGTATTTATTTATTTATAAGTAATTATTTAGATTTATTTGTTACTAAAGTTTGGGGTCGTAAGTTTTTTTAATGTTTTTAAAAGCTAAAAGGCTGCATTTATTTGATCAAAAATACAATAAAAAACATACTATTGTGAAATATTATCATTTAAAATATTTTCTATTTATATATAATATATTTAAACATTTTATTTATTTCTGTGATCAAAGCTGTATTTTCAGCATCATTACTCCAGTCTTCAGTGTCACATGATCCTTCAGAAATCATTTCTGATTATTATCAATGTTGAAAATGTGTGCTTCCTAATAGTTAAAACTGTGATACTTTTTTTCAGGATTTTTTGATTAATAGAAAGTTCATAAAAGAACATTTATTTAAAAATAGAATTCTTGTAACATTATGTTTTACTTTAGATAAATTTAACGCATCATTCATGACTTTAAAAGAGATCTTGCTGACCCCAAACTTTTCAACGTTAGTTGACTATTTAACATTTTTCAATTTGACTACATGCATTCTTTACAAATTTTGTCTGCTAAAACTTAACTCAAAAAAAAAAAGTAAAGAAATGTGATGTTCTAGCCAGTAGCATATTTCAATTGGATTTTTCATCAATTACAGTCAAACCCATTTTTGCTTGTTCTTGTGTGTTTTTGTCGCAGCGTGACGTATATACCTGCTGCCTTCCTGGACATGCACAGAGCCAGCTATGGCCAATCAAAAGAGGAAATGGAAACACACAGAACAGCTACCGTCCAACCCAAGCACTCACAGAACCTGCCTTTCAAACCTCTGTAAGGAGTCTGGGAATCTTTTTGTCTGTTTGTTTTCTTGTTTCTGATGGTGTTCTAATGCATGTTTGCTTTGTGTTAGAGAATGCATTTCTGAACAACAAAGTACAGTGGACGGTAAAGGAGTGAATGGGAAGACTCAAGCTGAAGAAGAGAATGAAAGAACAGATAACCACAGTCAAGTAAGACTAAGAGAGAGCGATGAAAGACTGGACAGAGACAAAAAGGTGAAGAATGAAAGAACGGTCTTGGAGAGTGAGAACGGACAAAGACGAGGGAGAGAAAAAGACAGACAAAAAAAAGATGAAGAAGAAACACACAGGAAGGATCGTAGCTCATGGAGTCAGCCTAGAAGGTATCACATAAACTAACAAAACATTAAGAGTCGACATTGCTCATGGTGATATGGTTGTGTTTTTTGTCCTAGAGTCACATTATTCAGGGCTGGGGCCACGTGTCTTGGCTTCAGTGTGGTGGGGGGTCGTGGTATGGGCAGTCGACTCAGCAATGGAGAAATGAGACGGGGCATCTTCATAAAACACATCGCAGAGGACAGCCCAGCTGCATGCAACAGCACTCTGAAAGAAGGAGACCGAATTCTTCAGGTGTGTGTGTGTGTGTGTGTGTGTGTGTGTGTGTTTTTGTGTGTTAACTATTGGTGTAAAGTCTGCTGTGCTTTTTATTGCTAATTGTAGCCAACAGCTGCACACTTAGACACTGTCTGAAATTCCAATAACAGAAAAAAGCAGAAAATACTTGGTCACATAATGACAGCAGTCTCCACCAATATTTGTACACTGGCAGAAAATAATTGTGATCAGAAAGTCTCCAAAATCTCCTGTTAATGTGTGATTACACAATTAAATACTGAGTAATATAGATTAACAACATGTACTTACTGTAGGGTTATGATTAGGGTTAGTTGCTTGCAATCAGAGCTGGATAGATTACTTAGAAATTGTAGTCTGTTACTGATTACAGATTGCATGAAGAAAACTGTAGTTAGTAACGTAATCTAGGTTACTCACTTAGGTAATGTAATCTGACTACTTTTTAGATTACTTTTAGATGCATGGTTTGTAAATATGTAATCATGTAATCCATAACAAAAGTAACTCTGATACTCTGATTATGAGTATTTTAAAATGTAATTTACTCTAATTACAAGTACGTAATTTTTGGAATCTGTTTACGTAATCCAGATTACATGTAATCAGTTATTACCCAGCACTGCTTGTAAATATGTGTAATTTGTTGGTATTACTAGTAATATGTACATGTAACACATATAACATGGGCTCTGTTAACACAAATCAGTATGTAAAGCAATATAATTAATATCTAGTTTACTTGCTATAAAGATTTGATGGCATGAACCTTGAAAACTAATCCTATGATCAAACAAATTTGATTAAAACTCACCCTTTTTCCAAACCTGTATGACTTTTTGGAGCCATACAGGTGATTTTTTTGTAATTTGTAATTTTAGGTTTATCATTTAGAATTTTTATGATCACTCTGCTTCATATAATGAAGGTAAATGAGAACTCGGGCTGTTGCACATTTAAAAGGATGCAGAAGTATCCTAAATAAATCATAAAAGGAGAAAGCTGATAAACCTTGTGAAAAAGAAGAGCACATAAATATAATTCAGTGTGCATTTGTGGTGAATTGTAATTATTATGCAGTTAAGTGTGTGAAAACATTTCATTCAGTTTGCACATAAATATATTATTGTTTATATCATTTCTTTAGTAAGTGCTCTTTTTTAAAAGTATGCTAAAGTGGACTTCATGTTGACAAAGATTGTATGATTTCAGAAGACTAATAATGTAGTGCAGGAGTTGTAACATTAGATTTTAAAAAAAAATTATTTATTTATTTATTTGCCATTTTGTAGTTTGAGTCCTAATCCTAATTTACTTTCATTATATTGAAAAAAAAAATCACCTTTTGTGCTCCACAGGAGAAAGTTATACAGGTTTGAAACAACCTGAAAGAGAGAAAAAAATACATATAATTCAGTGCTAGAATATACACTAGACCAGACAACGCATGAGTACATAAAACATTTATTTCCTCTCTATGTCCAGCTTTCAGCTCCTGACAACTGCCCTGAAGATGACAATGCATCAAAATCAAATTCTCAAAATCATCAGGTGTGTTCTTGCTTATGATATTGTGTTTATCATTCGTGTCTTTGAGGTGATGTATATGCTAACATAACAGTTTATCTCATCTTTAGGAGCCCGAGATCCCCAATAATCTCTCCCCAACCTACCCCTTCAGTCCCATCCCCTTTAAGGTAATGTAATGTGTTTGCATAGTAATAATCCAGTATTAGATTTTATGAGCTCCACACATATTCTCTACACGCTGAACACTAGCCTACTTTAAGATACTTTTAAAAAGAGTACTTATTATGGATAATAATAGGCTTTGAAACTATATACTGAATGTAATGACACTTATTTGTATGTTAATTGCAATTAAATGTAGTTTAAATTTATATTAAATGCAGTAGAGTGCTTTTTGACCCACTTAAGTATGACTTGACTATGATCTTTTTGAAATTGTATAATTTCTTGTATAGTTTAGTTCCTCGGCCCATAGTTCCACAAGATCACAATGACATGGCAGATACTCTTTTCTTCAGCAGATACTCTTTTCTCTCATAATTTCTTGTCTTTGAAATATGATTAAAGTGTCCTGCAGAATGTACAGACAAACATTTATGGTACACTATAATATACGTTAATGTAATTTCTAAGGAAACTTTGTACTTGCCAATTAGTTGCAAATTAGTATATTAAAAATATCTTCACTTTAAATGTAGAATTAAATATTAAACACACACACATATATATATATATATATATATATATATATATATACATAACATATGGTTT